CTCAACTCTTTTTCCTTTACAGATCTTTACAAGCAATAGAACCTCTAGCATTGATTGTTATCAGTCACTACACAACGAGTAAAGCAAGCAAATAATTCTGTTTATAATTGATGTTGCAAATAGTACGTCGTCTCTGATAGAGGTGGGCAGCTAATTCGAACGTGCCTCCCATCAACTGCACCCACACAATTTCGAAAGGTCGCTTCGCGAACAACCCACGTCGATAGTTTTCAAAGTGAGGTACAATAGGAAAATGAATATAAAAAATAATAGTATAGGGCCCAACTCGTCCATAGTTTTGCTCATTGTCATGTAAGACATACTTCAAAAAAATATGACATAACAAGGAAAAACATTTCTCATCATGTTAGTAAATCGACATATTTTATGCTTTAATTTCGTTATAGATTAAGGTTAAATAACGTTATTCAATATTGGTAGTAATGTATTATGATTTTATTTATTTTCAGTAGTGCTAGCTAAACGTGGAAAATTTACGTCGAGTTCACACAACCCGTTCACCAACTGAGAACACCCATTGACCATAGAATCCTTGGAAATATGCTGTTCAAAAAAGGAAATTTGATTTTCACACAAAAGAATAGGATGAATAGCAGAATGCCCACTCAACACGCAAGAATGACACAATTACGCAAAAAACAAACGTTTTGAGCCCTGCAGATGATCTCAATAAAGATCGAAACGTTGGCACGATAAAGAAAATGTTTTTCTGAACCTACGTCACATCAGACCGCATCTCACGAATTCCAAACAATCATTGAAATCAGAAAATTAGAAGTTTGCATTAAAACTCTATAGGTTTGCTCGTGAACAGACGTCAATATTTCAGGAGTCTACATGTCCAATTAGACTAAAAAGCTCTATTTTACAATGACAGAATCACAATTGTAACCGAGATTTTTCACTTTTCAAGATACTTCAACATTTCGCAACTTTATTCCATAAAGTCCCTGAATCTAACTCGCACAACTCAGTCACCAACTGAAACACTCATTGTCCTCAGAATCCAAGAACTATGCTTTTCAGAAAAAGAAATTTAATTTTCTAGATGTCTTCTAGATGTCAAATTAGACTAAAACGTCTCAGTTGAACAATGACAGAATCACAATTTTGTACTTTCAGGTTACTTCAACCTTTCGCATCTTTATTTCAGAGTCCATGAATTTATAAGACAGATATTTATTATATTACAATAATGGAAAGAACAGTAAAAATAAATATGATGAAGGTGGCGTGAATATGTAGATTCACTTTTTGTAAAAGATGATTAAACTTTTACAAAAAGTGAGAATTGAAAACACTATGAGATTTATTTGTTTTATTTTTTATTGTAACCTTAACAAAGCGAAATACAAAATCACTTAGAATATAAACTTTTACGAGTGTCTTAAGTCCTTAAATTTCTTCTTTTTCTCTTAACATTAAGTGAGATTGTATTGGTTCGGTGAACACTGTCAGATATGGTTGGTTAATATAACAATAATATTACCTAATTATTATAAATAATAATCATACCTTAAGGCTAGATTGCAGTGAACCAGGGTACGGAGATTTCAAGCCGGAAGAAGTGCTTACAGGTGTGCCACACAAGGGTCATTACGCGCTCCGCAGTTGTACGCAATTTTTACTTCTGATATGCACATAAATGAGAATGCACTTACCGCCACATAATCAGATGACACCGCCATATCAACTAGTCATCCTCTTCTGCACAAACTTCACTTGTGTTACAAAACCATATATCAACAATTGACAAATGGTGCATTCTTGGGAAAATAAAGTTTAGCTATTCAAAGTCACAACATATCACCTTTAAACTCCGGCACCTGTTCCGCAATCCAACAAAGTTAAATATTTAGGACTTGCATTTGATAGAAGTCTAACTTGGAATCCACATAAACGATTAAAAAAACAGACACTAAACAAACGATTTAAAATGCTTTATTACCTACTAAACTGCCAATCAAAATTAACATTAAATGTGTAGTATTTGGTGACCGTTAATTAATGATTATTTGGATATCGTGAAATGTAGACAAAACAGGTCTACATTTCACGATCTCCAAATAATCATTACCATTAACATAAAAACTTTCGACATACATATAACTACTCAAACCTATTTTGATGTACGGGTGCCAAGCTTATGAATCGGCCGAACATTCTAATATTCAAAGATTACAAAATTTTCAATCCCAAATTTTAAGGCTAACTGTTTCTGCCCCTTTTTACGTCTGCAATAATACAAAGATCTTCACATGCCAACATTTTTTTCATCCATCAAAACATATTACAGTCGTTTTTACAGTAAATTACAAAATCACAGAAAGGGGCGTCGGTAGCCGCAACGGTTTAGGCGTTGACACGGCGCTCATCACTGTAAGCTAAAGGTCCAGGGTTCGAATCCGACATACTTACAAATGGGCTTTTTTCAAAAACAACGGCACTCCAAGGGTTGATGTAACCTTTGCTGTTGCAAACCATCGTAAAAAAAGTAAAAAAAAGAGAGAAAAGCTAAAGGAAATATTCACAGTGAATGCAGGCACAGGCTCCAATACCAAAAAAAATATCTTAGAAAGAAGTAAAAAAATCTTGTTTTTGATATTTATCATTACCAAAAATCTTCCGTTGTTGTTTTATAGCTCTTTCAATCAGTCTTTTTGGGTATTTATTTTTTATTAGCATTTCTGTGTGTGACCTGTCGTTTCATGATTTGTTCAAGTCGAGAGGAGTGGTAAAAAAAAACACCTTTTTCATTTTTTTTGTCGACGTTTCGACCTGTTGACCACCAGACCGACCAGAATAAAGCCAGGAACACACTTACCCGATGTTACGCCATGCGACGCTACCCGATGCTGCCCGACGCAAATCCAAACTCCGATTTTCCATAAGGTTGCATTACCTCCGTGCACATCTACCCGATGCTATGCCACGCTAACCCACCGGACGCTCTGCGATCCCCACTGTCCAGATTTTCGTCGGGTCGCATCGAGTACAGTCGAAGACAAAAGAACCGGACACTCATATTTTTATTCAAACTACATGTATTATTGTCGTTATATTAATTACAACATACTTATTTTAATATAAACCAAATTAACTGTGATTAAAAATTAATTAGTTTTTATTTAAAAAATTAATTTTAATGGTTTGGTAGAAAATTAATCAAAACACCGGAATACGATTTTTTGATATAATGAATTTAACTAACAATTTATTGTACTCGCTTCGGCGGTACATATACTAAAATTGGAACAATTTATTACACGGTTTTGCTCATAAAATTTAATTAACAATTTATTTCATAGTTTTGCTCGTAAAATTACACCATTTTGTAATGTCGGGTAGCATCAGAACAGGACACTCATATTTTTTGTAGTTTATTTCAAACTAAGTACATGTAATTTTGTCGTTATATTAATTACAACATGTTATTTTAATGTAAACCAAATTAAACGAGATCAAAAATGCATAAGTTTTTATAAACATTGTTTAATTATGATGGTTAGGAGTAACTTTATTTAAAACAATTAAGTTTAACAAACAATTTATTAGATGGTTGTGCTCATAAAATTTAACTAACAATTTATTACAAGGTTTTGCTCAAAATAGTGCATTAAGAACAAAAGATGCGTTGCGATTGTGATAGTGATTATTGTGATAAACGCTGTGGACTGTACGCGACGTGTGCTTGCGTCGGATAGATGTGCACACCCCACCAAAACGTGGCAAGGCGTCGGGTAGCATCGGGTAGCGTCGCATGGCGTAGCATCGGGTAAGTGTGTTTCTGGCTTAAAGGTCGAAACGTTCAAAACTGAAAAAGTTGTTTTTCTAAACTACCGCATTCTCGTGCGCTCTTCACGACTTCAACAAATTTGTATTTCTCTTATTCCATTCAGATTACAGATTACTCTCTCCGCTTCACCCGAAAAATTCTTCCTCTGCAGCATGACGTTTCTGGGTACCAATCAATCGGCTACCGTTTTTTTCGAAACGGTGCTTTAACTCAGTATATCTTTCGAACAAAAGCACGACGGAGGATCCGCCGAGAATGTGACCACTAGTACTCCTAACGAACTCAGTGAGTCAATGTCCACGAGGTAGGATGACACAAAGGGAATTTATTTATTTTAAAATCTCAAATGAATCAATTAATCATTAGCAAAAATATATTTGTATATTTATTTCACGACTGTACATTTTTTCTGCAAAATAAAAATAATATTAATAAATAACATTTAATAAGTACACATAATATTAACTAATTAACAATAATATCGTAGAATTTCCATTTTATAGCACATGTTAAGTTCCAGACTATCTGTATTTTGCAACCCGATGCCAGCGCTTTATCAGTGTAACCCATTTACAGGTGGGGTGCATAGCAAGGTAAGTCACAGAAAATTCTGTAAGTTCGTAAGCAAATAACGACAAAAATTATTAAATAAATTGTGAATGCAGCACATGAAGCATAGCATTGTGCTTAGTAAAAATTCAATTCGAGAATGATTAAATTTCTGAAATGGCGTTAAAAGGCTGCCCTCTGAAAATTCAGACAATTCAATCGCTATGGATATACAATAAGACGTTTAATATGTTATTTATGCTGCGTCGAGAATGCGATTTACACATGTGACCGTGGTTATATATTTATTAACTTACATTCTTTTTGCAGGATTATTCAGAATGCGGTCTATTAATAGTAATAATTTAGAAATGCGCCATTTTGTATTATTGTAATTCATTTACGTGAATAATAAACAATAGAATACGAAACGGCAGGTATCATAGCCATCTTAATTATGTAATAAAATTACGTATTCTAGTTGACAATGATAAGTATAAAAATTTATGTAATTAAAACGGTAGAATTTTGTTGTTGTTTTGTTTAACGGGAACGTTAACATTTTGTTCAACTATTGTTGTTTTTTGTTTTTTCGTTAATCGGTAACATCAACATTACTATTTTTATTAGTGTAAAAACATATTGCTTCTGGTATTATATATTTTAATGTGGTTATAACGTAAGATTCTAATGTTTGGAATAACTTTGGAGGTTTTTATTAAAAAAAAGTTTCATTAATCTTAATTTCAGAAATTTGAGTGCAAAAATGATCTTCAAAAACTATTTACATTTCTAAAAATTAGTGAAAATTTTATACAAAAAATGCGTGAGCAGTCGGGATTAAAACTATTTGACATCAGCTGAACAGGAAAAAGTTTCGTTCATAAAGAAAGCTAACATTCGCTCATCATTTTTTACCACGAAACCGCATTCATTCTTCTGATCGACAGATTGGATAATTTGCCAAAAAAGTAAGTAGATTTTTTACATTTCCAAAATTTATTGGTGTATTTAACTTGGAACATTTTGCCGATGATTACAAACTTATCACATATACTTCACCTCTCGTATTGTCTCTATTCTAAAATTATTATTATTATTTAAGGCAAGGATATGGAAGAATACGCACGAGAACCTTGTCCTTGGCGTATCGTCGATGATTGCGGAGGCGCCTTCACGATGGGCACCATCGGAGGTTCCGTTTTCCAGTCGATCAAAGGTTTCAGAAATGCTCCGAGTGGATTCAGCAGAAGACTCGCAGTAAGTAACGTCGAACAAAACATTCTACTCCTGCTGTTTTTGAATATGTCTTGTATAAGTTGAAAAAAATATCACCCTTATAGTTTCCAAAATTCTCTTCACAAGCAGAGGTCATGTAACATGCAGTATCTGCACAGGCCTCTTTCTACTTTTCCGAGTGTATATATGCATATGTCAAGCTTGCGCTACTCTAGTACTATCTAGTACTACTACACCTCCAAAGTTTTGTTTAGTTAGTAGTTTTGCTGTTAGTTCCGGCGATGATTCTTTGATGATTTTTTTGCATATATCTGTCCGCTACATTCATATTGAAACGAGGACCTTATTATTAACCCATTGATCTGATGTGTCTGGGTGTTTGGTAACGGTATGCCGCAAAATAGTTCAAAGCCGACATAACTTTCCTTTGTCAAAGGTGATTTTGTTATTTTACCAGTCAGACAGGTCCTTACTGATTGTGAACCTCTATTTTGGGGGCATCCATCAAGAGCTCTCACGACAGCGCACGGCAATCAACAACACTCCGTAACAACACCATCTAGAGCTAATACACGACCTCAGTTTCTAAAATGCAATTTCTAAACAGCTCTATACTTCACTACCGATTAGGTAGTCTGAGTGCCCCTCGCTGGTCGAGCAGATGAATCTTTAGTGTATAAGACCCAGTCTGACAGCTTTGGCACAATGTTCAATAGCTCTTGTCTCCACCTAAAATACAGTGGCATATTGCAGAGTCCTTGACAATTTTCAAAAATACAAGGTCCTTACTCATATTCGATTTTGGAACCATCTGTGTACCACATATAATAGGTATTAACTGGCAATCTTTCTCCCAGTCTGCTTTATGAGGTGTTTTGTTTGGAAGCTTTCTGGGATGAATTTTGGGATCATGATATTGACAGAAATCCCAGAAACTTCTCCGACTGACGTTTCTATCACAGCATTAGTTTGATCCCTTTTGTGCAAGTTTGGCTATTGGAGCCTGTGCCTGCATTCTCTGTGAATACTGCCTTTAGCTTTTCTCTGGTTGAAGTTAGCAAAATAATAGGATTAAATACCGACTTCGAACCCGGGACCTTTACTTTACAGTGATGAGCGCTGTGTCAACGCCTAAACCGTTGCGGCCACCGACGCCCCCCCAGATCTATCCCTTTTTTTCTAATTCTTCCCTTTTTACTTTTCCCCCCGAAAGGAATTGTAATCTGTGTTTTAAGGTTCCATAGAGAAAAGCAGAAGGTTTCTACTGTTTATTCGTTTTACTTTAGTAATAATGTTTCATAATCTTATGATCCTTTTCCAGGGTAGCGTGGCGGCTGTGAAACAAAGGTCGCCGATAATCGGTGGAAGTTTCGCCGTGTGGGGCGGCCTGTTTTCGACCATAGATTGCACATTAGTACACTTCAGGCAGAAGGAAGACCCTTGGAATTCAATAATAAGCGCAGCGGCGACAGGTGGGATCCTGGCAGCGAGGAACGGCGTACCCGCGATGGCCGGAAGCGCGATAATCGGCGGCGTCCTGTTAGCTCTTATCGAAGGTGTCGGTATCTTATTCACCAGGATGCAGGCCGAACAGTTCAGACCGCCGCAACATTTCGAAGACCCTTCGCAGCTCGGACCCGACCTTTCCAAGTTGTCTTACCAACCCCAGTGACTACTGTTTGGGACGAAGGACATCACGACTGTCCGTCAGTGGGTCATCACAGATTTTCATGCTGACTACGTATTTATCTGCTGTTACGTACGATAATAAAATACAGAATGAATTTATTTTTCTACTCTTTGTTTCTTCGTATGTCAGTCATCTTGTACTTTTTAGTAACACTGAGCTTCAGCCAAAAAAGGTACACGTAACAGTACCCAAAGTACCAAATCCTGTCTTGCAATAAGACTCAACGTCTAACTTCCATGGGATGTGCTGGGATTCGAACCTTGCTAGCGTGGCAAATATATGCCGCACACCCTAACCACCCGGCCTTTACGGTAATGAATAAGGTGGTTGTTGGAGTTACTTACGTAATGTAATGATGTAGTTATATATATATATATATATATATTTATTTATTTATATACGTAAAGGCGTACTGCACTTTTTTCCGGTGAAAGGCAACGCAAAATATTTCTTCATCGCAACACAACGTCACTTTTTTAATGTAATGCTTTTTTAGTTTTCTTCCTCGTGTTCCGAATATTCGATTCGATAAGATAAGAACGCAGTTTTTGTTTATTTGCTCAAACACATTGCGCTCGTTTTGCCTAAAACCATTGCTTTCACTTTTCCGCAAACGCATTATGCTCTAACCAATGAATTAATGGTAACTAAAACCGAAGCTTTGTTTCGATTTTTCGAATTTTCTGTCTTGCAGCGGCATTCGCTCAAATGGATTTTAAAAGTGATGCTACGATTCCACTTGGAAAATACAAACTACTTTGCAACCTTAAAACCTGAGATTCTGATAAATGTAAATATCGATGAAACAGCTGGCGAACTTTTCACTTTTGTTTCATGAGTATGGACATTTAAGTTTACAAAATCATCACATCAATTTTTATAACAAGGGAAAATGTGAATGAAGAGAAAATACGGCTATGATAACGACCATAAGTAAGTTGGGGAAAAGCAAGCAAAGATACGACTGGGGTATTTCATCTAAAATATTTAAAATTGCAATTTCTTTTAAAATTTAGAGATTAAATATTAAGACCACAAAACAGGTCGGTTTGTTTTAAAAAACATGACAGTTGTTATTAATTTTTTAATAATTAAAACAGACAGGACGATTTTTAGTAGTAATGCCGATTGGTGGGTCCGACGGTGGAGCTGCGGCCGACTTCGCTCTTAAATGAGATACCGACACCTCCAGCAAGACTGCCAGGACGTTGCAGTGATTTGCAAGCATTCAGACGCGCAGTTCCTCGCTGTCAGGATCACACTTCTCGCCGCTGCGCTTATTATTGAATTCCAAGGGTCTTCCTTCTGCCTGAAGTGTACTAATGTGCAATCTACGGTCGAAACGGGATAAAATTATGCCAAAGTTCCAGCTACCATTGGCGATATTTCATCCAAGGCTGTTACACGTAAACGATTATCTTTTTATATCATACAGTAGTGGTCAATAAATTGTTAACATCTGATCTTTTAATGTGTGTCTTGTGACTGTTTGATGAATTTAATCGGTGACATATTCCAGACTTCTCACCAGTGGCGGACCCAAGGGGAGAGTAAATCGGGAATTACCATTCCCCCCCCCCCATTGTGCCAAGTGAAGATGTTATATGTCTTAGTTTAGCCTTAATTAAGCGAAGAGTATTACACAAACCTTGATCTGTTACCTCTGCTAAACCTTCCCAAAATTAAATCAGTTTCCTCTTAACTTGTCACGCTTTGGCTTTTTTGTCTCCCGGTTCGATCCTTCGATTACTCGATTTGATATCAAGAAACCTTTACGTTGATGTTTAATTTTAGGTAGATCTCTTTCAAAAATCTAGCGCTCTCTGACGTTCGCATTTTTGATCGCATAATGAAATTTGGCAGGGTAGTAAAGAATTTTATATGAACGCTTGAGATTGTTTTTCTGCCAAATGGACTGGGGTCGCCGATTAAAATAAAAAATGCAATCAAAATTTTAGCCATTTTTGCGTTTTCTCCCGCAGTTTGTTTAACTTTTCTCCCTCCTAGCTCTACCGTCACTATTGGATTTTGGGATTTTTGGTACCGTTTTTAAGTTGGATTTTTCTTGTGAATTTTAAGTTTGGTTTGGCTCAAATCCAGCAGTATTTAAAAAGTTATAATACGGTACTTTCAAACCTAATTTCTTTCGTTTAAAAGCTCAAATTTTTTTAATAAGAAAATGAAACCGTAGGCGTTTCTTAATTTTTTGCTACCATATATACCAAAATTTATTTTAAATTAACAGAGAAATCGCGGTAAAAAGTACTTAAAAGTGTGTATATTATTAAAAAATATGGTGTAGCCATCACACGTCTTTTTCCGTAAATCTCACCTTGTTATCAAAAAGCATTAGTGAGGTTAGACTGGAAAATAATTAAATAGCTTAAATAATATTTCAAATTAGGTAGTTAACTAGTAAACCGTTATTTTATTTTCATTATTTTTGGTAGTCTAGGAAAAAATGGCCCGAATCTATTTAACTTAACGCCAGCTGTTAATAAGTAACAAAAACATTTGACTAATTTTTTTATCCTATTGCAATATGTTTATGATGTTACGTTTTGTGTAAAGTAAATAATAGTATATACCCATTGTTTTCAAATTATTCTATAATTTTTAAAGTAGGAAATTTTTAGCACCGCTGGATTGATTCCGCAAAAAAAAGTCTACCTCTTACGCCTAACCGCCGTGAGGGTTTTTTTCTATTCGTTTATGTTTTGTGATAAACAATTACATTGCAGACCATGATTTTTCTCCTGATTAGCCATGTCCTTATAGTGCTTTTCTGATTTCTGCTTCTAATTTGCTTATTCGTTCTCTCATGTGTTAACCTCTAAGTTGGAGATAAATTTTTTATATTCGTTACTGTTGGTGACAAAATATTTACAGTGCAGACTATGACGAAAAAACATTTTGGAAAATTATGAAAATTATGTGCCTTTTTGAAATTAAAGTATTGAAACATTTAAATTACGTGATTTTTTCTTCAGTTTTTCCCTTTGAAGGAGGATAAAGTATTGCGTTCGGATTAAAAAGATGTGTAGAGTTTTTTCTCAATTTGTACGTTTTTAGGTCCTCTATGGAAAAAAATCGAAATTTTTACCTCCCTCACACTCTCCTGCTAATTGATACAATCTCACCTTTATATTTTGAACTATTCTTTATAAATTTCCTGAAAACCAAGTTGTTCCGGGTTGACACTAGGATGATTTACCAGCTATCCAATCATTTCAAACCTAACCTATTCTTAAACAATAGTAAACACAATAGCCTGGCATATTATATGCATCACAACACTGAAACCAATATGGTATTGATAGGGTTAAATCAAACCTTCCAATTTCTTCAGAATCCTTTATTTATTTTTTTTTAAATGACTTTTTATGTTTACACCATGCATAACGTCTGTATGTTGCGTTCATTAGTTGTTTGTACAAAAAATTCCACACTAGCCTCCAATTCCACTCTAATCCTCCTATACAACTTTCCCCTCGATCCCATCCCAGTAATCCTCATCGACTTGTAAAGATTCAGTTGCCTCGTAACCTGCTCTTAGAGAGTGAGAAATAATAATCTATTGTTATCTCTTAATAACTTCTCCACTGTTGTGATCTTTATAAAGCCTACCTACCTATACAACTAGTTTTCCTTACCTGCCTTCACAATTATCCTTAGAACTAGATACTTAACATCCCAATGAAAATGTTCCCTCAACGGGAAGATTCCAAATCTTAAAACGCTCATAGCATAATCCTACCGTCTAATTAGTCTGTTGCCAACAGGCCAAATTCTCGCCTTTATTCCTGACCACAGGTTTGTGTTCATTCTGATCAGCTATCGCGTTACAGACATCATTACTACCGCTTTTGATGGAAAGGAGTGCTACACCGGTTTATTCCGAGATGTGAAGCAAGCCTTGGCTAGGGTATGACACTCGGGGCTGGTTTGGAAGCTTAATAGATTTCACCTTTTTACTTACTATATGATATTGAAATTATACTTCATGGACGGGAACTTTAAGTCATCAGAGGCTCTCTCTTTCACGCAGACGCTCGGCTACACCAAGGGAGTACCTTATGACCCATCCTCTACATACTATCCAATCGAACAATTCACTATGGCCTTAAAATCTAATGAGTCCTTGAAGCAGCGAAAAGCAGCTACAAGAAATTTCACAAACAATTAACCTGTCACACAAACCCTCATGCCAAAAACCTTTCACCCTATGTTTCCATGTAATTGAAGGGACACTAGCCTCCTAAGTATCAGTGAAAGTAACGTTAATAAATAGGAAAAAAATTTTTGTATTCACCTTCTATTCTCTTTTGTTTATAATATGTTATAAAATTTATTAAGGGCACCAATTTGCGCAATTGTAAATAAATAAATAATATTTTTTAAGTGCACCTCTAACTCTGCACTTTCTGCGGCCACATGGATTTCTGAACATTGACCTGAGTAGATCTATTGGGCAAACTCACTGTCCAGCATCATGTTGAACCTCCATAGCCTTGCCAGCGGCTTCTTAGAGTAGGATCTTGCTTGTGTTTTTTCCTGTCCTAGTTGCAAGAACTTGTACCTACATAGACCTTCACACAAACATAAGTATCTGCACTGTCTTCTGTCTGTACTTCTATCCGGTACATGTGCTTTATTAAGTGGCAAAGCGCCGTCAGAAGTCCAACGAAAATACTGGTTCGGTTGCGGTTGCCTTCCAGTAATTCCCTTGTAAGGTTTGCCGAGGGCTCTTCTATGTGACTTCGCGGGTCTCATACCTGTGCTATTGTTCGACCTACCACCATGCTAAGCCACAGTAGGGTTCAGGGCTCAGAGGGTCCAAGTTGGCCTCCTCTTTATCAAGCATGTCAACCTTTTCGTTACCTCTATGCCCCGAGTACCCACGGACCCATGTCAGGAGCAGGTCATAGTGCAACTGACTTCCGTCAGGGTCTCCATGCAGATCCAACCACTCTTTACCTTCACCTCGCATGGGCTAGGGAATTTAGTACTGCCTGACTGTCAGAGAAGATGGCTATCTTCCGGGAATGTATTTCTAACCTTCTTATTTCCCTGACGCAGTGTTCAATCGCTATGATTTCAGACTGGAAAACTGTGGTAATTTACGTAGATTTCCCGTCAGTTCGATTTTTTGGTTCATCCAAAGAATCCAGCTCCCGTGCCTTTGTCGGTTTTGGACACGTCACTATTCCAGCACTACTATGCCGTTAGCGGTCTTTTTTGGCCCATTCTTTCCGTTTTGGTATCAGTACCTTGTACTTTTTAGTAAAATTGTATTATGGTATCTCCTCCCTCAATTTCCATTGTTTATTTACATGGCCTCAGATTCCATTTAAAACCTGTGGGCTATTGCTCTGGGTTTTGCTTGGGTTGATATTTCAAGTGGTTGAAGCGGTGGGTGGTTTAACCACACCTCCAGAGCCATAGGTAGTGTTGTGCTCATGGCGTCTGTGACCCTGATACAAGCTTATCATTGAGTACCACTTAATACCCTAATTCTTTTTGCCTGCAGAGTCTTGGTCCACCACACCACCGATCCATATGTCAACATTGGTCTTAAAACGCAGGTTTATGGGCATAGGTTCATTTTGGACTTTAATCCCCAGAATCGCAAGATAGAAAGGTCAAGTTAAATTAACAACATATAATAAATAATACAACCTAAGTAAAATCTTTTAGTTTTTGCAATACCAGGACAATTTAGGCATTTCAACTTTCACGTTTTACTGCAGGAAAGATATTTTTTGACCGAACCATGAAAAGCAATTTCCAATGTTCACATAAACAACACAGCTTTGTCATACAGTTCCTTTATTACGTAGATTAATTACTCGACTGTCCAACAGTTACAGCAACGGCAGTATTAGAAAACGTAAGCCAGAACTTCGTTTATTTATTTTCAAGTCCTGCTCATTCTTTTGTGTGCCTCTTGAGCGTCTGAAAAAGTCCAATTATATAAAATAGTAAATTTTCGAAAAAAAAACGTTTTAAATGACTTCGAATTACTGTGCTTTCGATAATGTCTATCCAGGGTGCGGTATTTAGTCTTTTCCATCCATTCGCGTACGGCCCTTCTCGATTGTTCCTGTTGCTCCCATTCTCTGGCCTCTTGTTCCTGTTTCCTAGCTTCTTTCTCTCGAATTTCAGCTTTATAAATAAAACGTAATTTGGTTAATTACCCTTTTTGGTCTGTGATTTAAGTTTTTACCCATCCGGGCCTGTTCTTTTTTGTGAAGCCACTGGCTAAACGTCAAGGAGCCGCTTTTCTTGCAGTTGTCAATGCTGACGTTTGTCTGGCTTAGCTTTGTCTGGTCCGCGATTATTTCCTTTGTCGTCAGATTTGGCCAGTCCTAAAAGACATTAATTTTAGGACAAATCTGTCTTGAATATATTTTATTTATATATTTTATTAAATTATTATAGTTGTGTATTAAAAATAATCAGTATTGAGGATAATAAGAAAGAAAATGTTCTTTTGTCCAGCTTCAGATTCCCTTCTTCAAGACTTGGAACTTTATTTATTTTTTAAATTTTAACGAATATGACCGACTATTTACAATTTTCAAACCAATCATTTACCAGTTGGTCATATAGCAATTAAAATCATCGTTGCATTCGATAACGTTTTTAAATGTATAAGTTGTACATGTGAATCTAGGAGTTAGTGCAGAAATTAAAAATTTCGTCATTTTTAGATAGTAAAAGACCAGGATTCAAAATGGAAGCGTAATTAGTTCTAAAAGCGTAGAATATCCGGGGCTTCTTTTAATTGAAACATTGCTCCACCTTTCGTACTGTTATCAAATTTAGTAAAATTCTGTTGCATACATTTGGTGTCCAATTACTTCTTATTTGTTCCGTCTATCGATTGTGCTTATACAAAAGGAAAGACTGGCGGTCTTTATTTTGAAATATGTTCGACGATTTTAATTTTACATGGCTGGGTTTAAAAGTTTAGTAAGTACTTCATACTACATCAACTTTGTTCTAGGGAAAATATAAGGGGTATTGCAGGGTTAAATTTCAATTCTGCCGTGGTGGGATTCATAAATAAAACTTAGTTCTGTGCCACCAGAACGAGGTTTCTATCTTGACTTTCTCCTGAGAGTTAACATTTTTGTGATTTTAGTCTAAAATAGGATTTTATTTTACTCAATTCACTAGTTTTCGTCGTCCGCTTGACCAATTCATATCTTTCAATTAATTAAGGTGTTTCGTTGAGATAAAAAAGTCAATGGCACGAGTGGGATTCAAAACCCCGATCTTCGGCTAGATTCGCCGCTGCTCAACCACTTGAGCTACCGTGACCTCGATCTACTCATGCAGACCACGAAAACTAGTGAATTTAATAAGATAAATGAAGTATACTTTCACTAAAAATCTCCGTGGCCATTTCATTTGTCGCCGAGAATCAAATAGATTACACGACATTTGAAAAATGGCAAAAAGGAGGGAAAATTCCAAAGGTGGGGTTGAGATGGGAAGTTGGTGTCCGAATGGATCGAGGTCACGATAGCTCAACTGGTACAGGAGCGGCGTATCTAGCCGAAGATCGTGGGTTCGAATCCCGCTCGTGATACTGACTTTTTTATCTCAACTAAAAACATTAATTAATTGAAAAATTTTATTTTACATAATATCGTAAAATCTCAACTTTACCATCATGAAAATACAAATCTGACTTTTATTTCATAAAATGCATTACATTTCCCACAAGTCATCATGGGGCATAATTTAATGAAGATTAATTTTGATGAGAAGAATGTATTTAATTTTTCGTACCAAATAATAAATGTTTTTATCGAAAACAAGATTTACGACGTTCTTGTTCTCTGTTCTCCTTGGGTTCGATATAATATTTTTAAACCTTACTAAGGGGATTTCACTAAAAAAAAGTCTAAAAATTGTAAAAGTTAGCTTACTGCAATAATACTTGTAAAATAACTTCGGTGAAATCCTGCAAATTTGTATGGAAAATCATTGGAAGGAATTTGCAAATTGTGTATATTCAAAAATGCCATGCCATTTGTTATTCTTTGTGGGAAATCTCATGTAGTTTGTAAAATAAAGGTCATTTTGTATTTCAATGCTCTTAAGGTTGAGAAATTACTCTTTTATGTAAAAAATCTGATTTAAGATTAAAATCACAAAAAAGTTAATATCCCAGGATAGAAACGTCGTTCTGGAATACGTTTTATTTAGTGAATACCACCATGGAACCACATTTAACCATTGATAAGGCCTAAAAAATCTGATCACAACTGACGCTTCAAACTGCAAAATATGACGTCTTTGCGTTAAAAGTTTAACCCTTACAATTTAATATAAGGCAAAAGATATTTTTTTACATATAGGACGGTTTTCCATAAAATATAAGTATAGAACAAAATAACTTTGTTTAATCAGTTGAAACATTTATGGTTTATGCTTAATAGTTAAGTCAGTGTTTACTCTTATACAATGGATTAACTCTGGCTCGTATAAAATATAAAAGAAATTAATAAAATACTGAGGTGGTGTTTACTAATTATCCAGAAATGAGTCGTAAAAATTAACCGTCGTTTCAATCGTGTTAACTATACATTACAAATAGAACTGCTACGATCTGGTATTTCCTGTTTGACCGATGGCCAAGTGTTGGCCGTATCGTTGGTCCTTGATTTTCCCTCCATGTGAAATTCCCTCTTCCTCGAGTGTTCCTTTTCGAGCATTTCTTTCCTTTTCATCCTTTCCACGGCTAGCATCTCGTTTTTTCTTATTCTCTCCCTTTCCGACAGCTCTTGCTTCCTCATCTTTTCCTTTTGCTCGATGAGTGCTGTCATCCTGGACTGCTGTGCCTCCAAGTCTTTCCTGGCTTTCCATTCTTGAAAGCTGTCTCCTTTCATTGCCTGAAAAGGCGGTTTTTATACGTTTTGAGAAGAAAATATGAATTAACGCGTACTCACCCTGCTCCTTCGCATCTTACCAAGACTACCCATTAAAATTTAGCCAAATTTCTAATACTACAATGTCAATAACAAAAACATATGATTAACATTGCAAATAACTTTGTTTTCAAATTTGTTAAAAACTACTGCTTTTCAATGTAGTCAATTATGTCAATTACCTGTACATTATACGAATCAATGATATTTTAATAGTCTTCAATTCCCAATTCTCCATCTTGGCTTCCAATTATGAAAAGATTTTATATATATATATANGAATCGGACCATGGTCAATATGAACTTTTTTGTTCATTTTAGGGTCAAGAATCTACTGGTGAAGTTTGTAGCACGAGTAGCAATTCACCCTGTATATATATGTATATACTTATTTAGAAGAAGTATCGAGACTCTTACAATTTTATGAAAGGAAACAAAGGATATAGAAAGCAATAATTATTGCCAGATTTTATGATTTATTACATCAATACATTTTTTAAAATCATTTTTGACAAATATATATTACAGATTATAATGTATGTGCTCACCCAATAAGTGGCAAAGTTTATAAATACACGTATTCTTTCGTTCTAAATAAGGTAAAAATTAATAACTAATTTAATATAAGATCAATATTGCACATGAATTTGCACATCAATAATACACACATGCAAAGATTTTGCTCTATAACGTCTCGCAATCTGGCGGCAGTTCCAGCTTTTTTTTCATTATTACATTACATTAAATGATTGCCTTCTTCAGGGGATCTACAGAGACATAGGGACATAATCATTTAAACAGTTATAAATTATTTTGTCAGTTTGTTGTTACTTACAGATACAAAGTCATAATTTAAACACATTACACATTTCACGATATGTATATATACAAACTATATACATATATAATAAATAAATAAATAAAAACCTCTTCTTAATAGCCTCTTACATATATATGCATTTTTTTAAAACAGTAACAATTACTTAACAATTAATATTCTTTAGGTACATAAATATCACAGGCGTTTGACTAGAAAATTGTGTTTATCACGTTATCAGGTGGGAGGTTCCCCACACTATCACCTACTGATAACAATCATTTTCCACAATTTTTAAAATAAGATCTTAATTTCTAGTACATTGGTATTTCTATGTTATCACAGCCTGTCATAATAAATAAATAAATATGTACGCATGTATTATTACGATCTTTGGAGAGAGACCTTGTCTTTTTCTAGAATCCCACTGTATATCACACACAAATTATTCAAATCTGTTTTTAAATTACATGCCATGTTATCCTGATGAATAAATATCATTTCATCATCATGTTTGAAGACCACAACCCGAATCCCAATCAACATCGTATTAAAGGCTGGTTGATCGCGTAACAAGTATTAAATTATTACTATGCTCCAGACATACCCACCCAAGGTGTTGGCAGCCTGGGGTCAGACCTCGGTCATGGCCGTTCATCACAATGCCAAGTTTATGGAATTTGCTTCTGTGGTAGGTTCATTCTGCTTCCTCGCTGGCTTGTTTCAGGTCCATGTAATCTGACAATGAGATTTTAAAAATGACATGAATCATCCTTTTCTTCCCTCTTTCTTTTTCTCTCGCCTGTTTCCTTTCATCTTCTTTCTCCATCTGATTTTCTTCTTAATGTCGTTTTGTCATTCCATTTTAAGTAATTATTATTTTACAGAATATATTATCATCATTGCTTTGTATATTTTATTATTATTCTACAATATTTATAAAACGAAATTTATTTATAAGAAATGTACAAAGCCCTATTGTACCTTTGGAATAAAAATAAATAAACAATAGATGAAAAATTACATAAAAAGAAAAGTTATTGGTCTCTTTTTGCTTTTAATTGTGTAGGTCACGTCCCAACAAACAACTAACTGTGAAAAAACGACCAAGTAACAGCCCAAACTCAATTCACTCCTACTTTTATGGAAACACTGTTCTTTTATTTCTATTGCGTAACACTTGGCCAATATATGAATAAACAATGAAAAGTCTGGAAGTTCTTTTTTTCTGGAAGTTCATTTTTTCTATCTTTCCTTCAGCCATCTCTCCGATGTGAGGAAAGATGGTCCTGAATTTTAAAATCTTCATTCAGAAACTGGCCACTCAGATCTTATTAGAAAAATTAAAGGGTATACCTTTTCAAATCTTAACTTGAAGAACAAAAAGATTTGCAAAACTACATTATATTGATAGTAATAATTTAGGGATAAAAGGCACGCGATCGGCGGATTATTCTTCGGCGGGGATGATGCGGATGCGAAAGGACGGGAAAGAGTGCCATGCTCCCGAGGAGGGCTGTCGCATCGTTGGCCCGCCTCCCGCATGGAGAGCCACTTCCTTGCCTCCAGGCGATCCACGCTTCTCAACTCACATTTTGTACACTTTTCCAGTCCAAATTCCGTTTCTACTGGCCTGAAACACTCGGCGAACGTTAATTTTTACAGGAAATGTTTAAAAATAAAAGATTGCAAAATTATGCACGTATGTGTTTCACGGTCTCTTGGTCAAAAGGCTAGGGATTCACACTGGAAGATACAAAACACCTGTTACTTCAGTTGTTATTTTACTTGTTACTGGCTTTCTGGTTTTCTTTTTAAAATGATGTAACATTTGATGAAACTGTTGTTCAGGTATTATGCTGGAAATGATAATGTATTCTAGATATAAATTGTTTAATAAACGATGACCTGAATGAAATTGGAATTGAGTGCTTGTTAAGGCCTGCTCGAAGTCCAGACTTCAGCTCATTTGAACACAATTGGAACCAACTTAAGCGATCAGTAGGACGGCGAAACCCAAGTTCCTACACCTTAGTATAGTTGAAAATGGCTGGTCTTGATGAATGGGAAAGAAACCTAAGGATTTTACAGAAATCTTTTACAAGGAATGTTTAACGGACATCATTCAAACCAGAGGTGGAAATACTCGGTATTAAAGGGAAGAAACAAGTTTTTTTTAGAATCAAACCTATTTTTGTTATGCAAAAATGTGGAAAACCTAAATACATTAAAATTTAAGGGTGGTGCCTTAATTTTGTCTACCAGTGGACATGAATTTGTTGAAACGATGGCATGATAAAAAAAATATTACTACAAAAATTCAATTTATACCCAAAGTTTAAACTGACATTTTTAATAACAACACTGTATAATTTTTAGCCAATTTATTTTGGATTTTATTGCGTCAAAGGCAGAAAGATGGTAGAATAGCATAAGTCTTTGGCTGTATAATCATACACATCTACATCGTAAATTTATGAAATTAATTCATAATAAAATAAAAACTTATATATGATAATTATTATTAATATGTTATTGAAATATATCTAAACATTACATGATATATACCAAACATAGCATTTCATATCCACAAAGCTTTAATTTTCTCACGTTTGATTGTAGTTCATCAGCATACGAAAACCCATCGATATTAAAAATGATCTATCTTATTCACCGTAAATCACTTTGGTAAGTATGGGAACTTTCAAAACACAATCTCGTGTACCCTGGTAAGAAGGATATTACTCTTTCTACTCCTTCGTTCAACCCAGCTTGTTGCAGTACTTGCTATTAAATGTGAATGCTGCAAGTGCAAGAAATGCAATGTAAACAGTAATAAATATGAACACTCGGCGAAAGTTTTTACAGGAAATGTTTAAAAATAAAAGATTGCAACATTATGCAGGTATGTGTTTCACGGTCTCTTGCTCAAAATGGATTCACACTGGAAAACCCAAAACACATGTTACTTCAGTTATTATTTTACTTGTTACTGGCTTTTTGGTTTTTTGTTAAATCATGTAACATTTGATAAAACCGATGTTCATGTATTATGCTGGAAGTCATAAATATTCTCTATATAAATTGTTTAATAAATTATGACCTGAATGAAGTTGGAATTGAGGGCTTGGTCTGGCCTGCTCGAAATCCAGATTTGAGCCCATTTGAACACAGTTGGAACCAATTTAAGCGATGAGTAAGACGGCCAAACCCAAGTCCTAACACCCAAGAACATTTAAAAATGGCTGTTCTTGATGAATGGGAAAGAAACCTCAGGATTTTACAGAAATTTTTTTCCAAGGAATGTTAACGGACGTTATTCACACCAGAGGTGGAAATACTCGGTATTAAAAGGGACAAAAAATTATATTTAATTTTTTTTCTTAGTATCAAACCTATTTTTGTTATTCAAAAATATTAATAAACCTAAATACATTAAAATATAAGGGTGGTGCTCTCATTTTGTCTACCAGTGCTTAGTCTGGCCTGCTTGAAGTCCAGATTTGAGCCCATTTGAACACAATTGGAACAAACTTAAGCGATGAGTATACGGCGAATGGGAAAGAATTCATCAGGATTTTATCACAAATCTTTTCCAAGGAATGCAAAGGTGATTGGTACCAGATATAGAAATATTCTGTATTAACTGTATTAACGGGGACAAAAAATCTGATTGCTGATGATAATCAATAAGCCTTCTCTGTAACGCATCCCATATGGGCTCAACGGAATTGAGGTCTGGAGAGGAGGGAGGGTGAATAACTCGGCCTCGAAGGGAGCGTTGCACGATGTGCAGGGGACCGCCGTTCAGCTGATCGCTGTTCAACCAGTCGTTGGTATATTGTTTGCTGTACCGCTTTCCCGAGTCTTTTTGTGTTGATTTCATTGTTTTTTTTACTGTTTTTTTGGAAGAATTGGACAATAAAATAGAATGTCATAAGAAAGAAACCGAGTTAAAAATGATGTGCATTTTGGAAGAACCCAATTTAAGGACGCTTCACTTAAAAATAGAACATGAGACACGACTTCAAGTCCTTGAACAAGAAAAGGAAATTTTAAAATCAAAAAAGAAAATGGAATAAAAACAATTGTTGCATTTTTAAAATTTATTTTGTTTGATTAATGCATTATTTTAGTTTACATATCAGTTATATTTTATTAAAAGTAGTATTTCTTATGATTAGATTATTTTAATTTACATTACAATTTTTATTATTTCCTTTACACTAAATTATTATTATATAATATTAATATATTATTTATTATCTTTTATTATATATTATCTTTTATTATATATTA